TTTTTTTTTTTTTTTTTTTTTTTTTTTTTTTTGTAAATTTGTTTCAGACGTCATTGTTTCACGTGGATTATAGTATGAAATGGACTTTTGTGGAACTTATCCCATTTGGGGGTTTAGGTGTATTTGGCGGTGTTATTGGTAGCTTTTTTATATGGTGCGTTTTTTAAGCAGAAAAAATGTCCCAATTATTTATTTTATTGCAGTGTTGGCTAAAAAAGAAGTTTTTTGCTTACAGGCTTTTTTTATTTATTTTACTCACACAATTATTTTTTAGGGCAAATCTGAAATGGTGCCGATTGCGAAAATCGAACAGACTTTTAGGAAGCAATCCGGTATATGAAGTTCTTATTGTTACGTTTATAACAGCTTTTGTCAGCTTTTTCAACCCATACACGCGTAAAAGTTCATCTTCTTTGATAAAACAGGTACCATTTTTCAAGCAGTTTTAGCTTTATTAGGTAGAACGGAGAGACTAAACTTTTAATCTTGACAACAATTTTTTTATAAGAGCTGAAAGGTGGGTTGGTGTAGCTTGAAAGATATAACATTGTTGAGGTCTTTATATGTTGTTCAAAAGTTATGTCAAAGTTTTCAGTTGTTTGATCGGTGCGGTCCTAAAGATTATATGTCTGATCTTTGTGATTACCAGAATAAAACTTTCACCTGGGATAAAGTCGACAATTATCATACTGGAGAATTTGGAAAAGGTGTACATGTAGGTGTTCTTTGCAGATCAAACTATGTGTTATTCGGCTTTACACGAAATTTTAAATTTTAATGCAGGTTTTTTGTCTCATTATCGTTAGAAATTTCAGTTAATTAAAAAGAGCCTTTTATTTATTCATTTTCAGAGTGCTTTTATACAGTTAATTTTTGCTTTGATTGTCAAGCTTTTACTGACAATATTTACATTTGGCATAAAAGTACCTTCTGGTTTATTTGTACCTAGTCTTGCCATGGGCGCGATTGCTGGCCGCCTTTTGGGAATCACAGTTGAGGGTTTTGTTACAACACTTCAGGTTCTTTTTAGATGTACATTCTCTGTTGGCTTTTCATTTTATTTTTTCAAGGCATTCTTACTATGCTCCGAATGAGTCCTTTATTTATTTATGAATATTACCG